GGGGGGGACCACTCTGTTTGCCGTCAGAGCTCAAAGAATGAATGACGATGAGGAAATAGGAGATGGAGAAGAGAAGGCAGCAGCACAGCAAACCCGAGAGACACTTGCACACGCCCCCCATGTCGCATTTTTTTTTTCACCCTCGAGCAAACACACGCCCTCCAGCTCGCCCATTATACAACTATACCCACACGGCTGCTGCCCGATAAAGTTCCCTCGCATCTTATATAAGGACCCTTGGGTCCCGACCCATCCCATCCAGACCTGATCTGGCCCACATCCCACATCCAACTTCCAACTCCATGTGACCACCAAGCCAGGTTTTTCCGTTACCAAGATTTACACCAAGACCACCCTCGGGGCCAACTTATTCACACCGCTTGCATACCGGCCCCCCTCTTTCCCCTCCCGCTAGACCTTTTTCTCCCATTCTCTCTGATTCCCGGCCGCGCCCGTTCCCGCCGGACCCTAACCCCTCTAGTTCTTTTTTATTATTATCCCCCTCGTCTCTCCCCTATTTCTTTCTTCTTTTTAAGGGTCCAGGATCTGCCGCCCCGAATGCCCGCCTCGACTGCCGCCAAACAGAGGTCCTACAGCCGTTACCTGCCCGCCACAAACATGTCCAACTCGTCGCAGAACACGTACTCGTCCGTCTCCATCCCGGTGTCGCCGCCGCCGCCGGCGGACCTGCCGTCGTACTCGCGCACCATGCACCAGCACACCAAGCAGCAGATGGAGGCCGCCTCGCACTCGTCGTCGCGCCGCCGGGGCTCGAGGAATCACAGCCAAGGTGCCCAGCAGAACGGCGTCTCGGCCGCCTACGGCCCGCCCTCGTACCAGTGATGGGGGTGTCTGGCGTTCGATGCGCGGCTGCAGCAGCACAACTACCACCACCGGCAACAATATCAACAGCAACACTACCGTCCTCATCATCGCCACCATCAACAAGAACAATATGTCATTCAACATCGCCATCGACGACATGGTGACTCGACGACGGATCGACCACTAGTCACGACACCTCCAGATCAGGCAAAGGCTCAGAGCCGCTAGGCCAAGAGATCCTTGTCGACTCGTACAACCACACCATCGTCATCACCCAGCCCACCAGCCCAGAAGACTCCGATTCCTAGGGTTTGGGTGAAGTGATGGCCAGGTTCCAAGGATCCCCGCCATCGCCTCTAAGCACATAGCATCTTGGATGATGTTTCTCGTCGCCGTCGACGAATACTCGCACGGAGCGGCTAGGTTGTTGATGGTTGGGCTTATGTCTGCCAAGCAAGCGGTCGTTTGGCTCTGCCACCAATTTGTTTACGTTAGCGACCTGTCTCATTTCCTTGATATTTCTCTGCTTGAGCCCAAGGTTACCCTTGCACGCTCTCACATAAAGCAAGCTGGCGTTTGTCCATTCGTTCTCCCCTTCTACTCTCGTTTTTTTTTGTATCATCCTATTATATCAAAACTAGGATCATGGGTACCGGCGTAGGGGTATTGGATTTTTTTCTGGGTCGCTGTCATGGGTTTGTTGTTGAAGCATACGGAACGAGGGTTGGAACCTCTCGGCAACGACTTATGAATGATGAACACTTCAAAATAAACTCACAACCTCTTGTGTGCATCTGATTATGCGCATGTGGTGGGCAAGCCACTCGTGACTGTATCGCAAGTGATACCGTGCTTGCATGAGGTGGTGTGGGGCTTTGGTGACCCTAACCAACAAACGGGCCAAACTCCAAGCATGGCTGGCTCTGTCGTTAGATTTCATTAATTCTATTTGTGGCCCGTAAGCCTTCTTCAGGTTCTCCGGCCCAGATGCGACGTGACCACCCACCAAAAACGTCGTCATTATAGCGTGCGTCACCGGTCATTGCCATGCCGGACACCACAAGGTGGGCATATAGGGCTGTCGGATGATTCAAGCCCGTTGATGTCGTACATTCGGTCTCGTGTCTGCGTGTGTAGTCGCTCACTCCAGAGTCCGTCATGTCTTCTTCTTGATCCCAAGCAGCGCAGCGCGGTCGGTCTTCTTCTTGACCTGCCTCTTGAAGCTGGGCGGAGGCATGTCTGTCGCGCCTACGAGCGCAGGGTTGGTCGTCGTCGTCGGCGTCGTCGAGGTGGCGGGCTTGTCCAACCCCGACCCCGACCCCGACCCGGACTTGAGCGCGCCGCCGTCCCAGCCGACCAGCTCCTCCTCGGCAATGAGCTCCTCCTGCATGTCGTCGGCCTGCCCGCGGGCCCACGCAAAGGCCATCCTCGCGGCCTCTGCGTCCTCCTTTTCCTGGCGCAGCCGCTCCTCGTCGCGGTCCTCGGCCACGAGCGCCTCGGCGCCGGCCGGGTCGGCGCGGGCGATGCGAGCGTTGCGGGTGCGCAGCTCGTCGAGCGCGTCGGCGACGGCCATCTCGCGCCGGGCGTCGACCGTCTTGGCCTCGAGCTCGGCCATGGCGTTGCGCTCCTCCTCCTCGGCGTGCTCCTGCTCGAGACGGTCGAGGCGGGCCTCGTCCGTCTCGTCCTCCGGGGGGGCGGTGCCGTCGCCATCGCCGCTCAGTCCCCGCTTCCAGGGGTCCGTGTTGCGCTTGGCGCCGCGCTCGCACACGTAGTCCTGGTTGGCCGGGTCGGTGCGGAACGAGATCTGGGTCGAGCAGCGGGTGCACTTGATGTAGAAGCGGTGGATCTGGATGCCCAGGTACCGCTCCTCCGGGTTCGTCTCCTTGCGCGCGTTGAACTTGCGCCCCCGGTAGATGTACTCGCCGCACGAGGTGCACCTCATGCCGAAGGGCGCCATGAGCCGCACCACCTGCACCTTGGGCCCCGTCTGCTTGGGGCCCCGCCGCCGCGTGAGCGCATTCGGGTCGAAGTCGGCGGGGTAGTATTTGGACAGGACTTTTCGTTCCGACATGGTCGCGTCGATCGGCGGCCGCCTTTGAAGGTTTAAGCGCGGGCAGAGCTGGCGCGTTGTTGGAGACGAGGCGATGCGGCGTTGAGTTGCCTGCCAGGTGGGTCCTTTGTCGGAATACCCACTAATTATTTCTTGGCGAACGGCAAGGTTGAGGGTTAGGGTTGGAATTTGGCTCCTATGGTGCCTTCCAACATGGAATAGACTGTGCACCACAAGATCACGTTCCTGATACCCAAGACTCGATGCAATGCAGTCTCTCCCATTCATCCCGCAGCAGCAACGTCGACCAGGCCTCGACGGCTGCTCGACCGGCTTGCTCCATATTACTCTACAATTTATATCATAACCCCCTCATATCGTCAAGCCAACCAACGAATCCCCGTGAAGCGCCTTACACCGAAAAGGATGACAAGAAAAACCACAAAAGCCAAAAGCTCGGATCATCCCAATATCTATGTAATGTGCATTTTCCCTCATTATCCACACAGGGGCCCACGCTCTCGTTAGGAAACCAAACCCGTACATGGACATTTCGTCGCCTCTGCTGGGGCCGGCCCGTGGCATACGCGCCGAGATAATAAGTGCTCGGCTGGGAGACCATCAGGTCGAAGCGAGTCGCATGCGAGCACAGAAGGCGGCGTTTGTGCCGGACCACTCTTAGTTCATGCCATGCATTTTGAACCAGTTCGGTCGGCAGTCTTCCTTGTGCAGCCACTTCTCGCCGTCGGTGAAGCGCCCGGTGACGCAGCCCTTGCACTTGGGAGAGTTGGGGCAGTTGAAGAAGGGGATGTGCTGGTACCCGATATCGCGGAACCTGTACTTGCATGTTAGCTTTGAAAGGAGATAAAATAGGGGGCAAAGATACAAAAGATTAAAGACGCACCAGTGAATCTTGCTGGCATCCTCAAAGAGACCGAGGGCGATGCTGTGGACGGGCGCATCACCCCAGCGCTCGTAGAAAAAGCCGCCAGCGCGGTCAAGGTGGTTAAAGTAGTCCTCGTACACCTTGCTACGCCAGAAGTTCAGGTCGCCAATCTCAAAGTTGCTCCAGAAGTGGCAGGTCGAGTAGCCGTTGGCCTTCTGGGTGTGCTCGGGGCGGTGCTTGCTGTCGGTCAACCAGTCCATAGCGTTGTTGGGGTGCTTGTAGGTGGGGTTCTCGGCTAGGAACTTGAGGGTCTCGGGCCACAGCGTCGGGATAGACTCGGGCGCGTCGTAGAGGTTGATGGTGAAGCCGTACGTCTTGTTGTTGTCCTGCATGAAGCGGAACACATCGTAGTCGACGTCACAGAAGAAGTGCACCTTGGGCTCCACGCGCCAGTAGTACTGCGTATCCTTGAGGGCCGGGTGCTTGTAGAAGAGCCCACTGTTCCACCGGCACATCTGGTGGTACGAGATTTGGTCGGCATACTGGATCCCGTTCTCCTTGAGAATCCTGGTCGATTCCTTGTACAGCTCCTCGTTGATCCAGGAGGGCATTTCCCAATGCTCCTTTGGAATGCGCTCTGTGTCATGAGTGATGTCATGATTAGTTGCCATGCCCAACTTTGTATCCCACGTGAAGGCTCGGTCTAGAATTCAAGGGGCGACGAACCGTATCTGCACTCGGCCTTGGTCGCCGCCTGCGTCTTCTTCTTGAACTCGTCCGAGAAGTCGACGTCGTTGAAGAAAGTCCAGGGGTAGTTGAACTTGTGGTTCCATGTGCGCTCCAGATCGCCCATGGCCTGGAGCATGCCCTCCAGCTCCTCGTTTCTTACCAGGGCCAGGAGCGTCGCATTGATGCGCTCAGAGGGGTGGGTGTTGGGGGCGTATCCGTTCCCGGCACGCCGCAGGACGCCTTCGGGTTCGCCGCTGGCTAAAAGAGGGGAGGCGGATCTCAAGGTCAGCACTCGGCACAGGTGCACGCGCTCACTGCCGTGTCGCATCGGTGCAGGGGAGCGTCGGCGGCCACGGGCTACTCACGATCGTGCATAGGGTCCTTGGCGAAGTTGAAGAACTCGTCGGACGATATGGACGAGGGCTTGAAGATCTGGTAGAGGAAGAAGAACCACATGACGAGGGCGGCGAGGCCCAGGGCCCTCACGGGCCGAGCGACGGCCATTTCGGGCGGTGGCAGATGAGGCGGAGGTGTCGGCGGGCGGGATTCAAAAGGTGGCGGTCATTTGCTTTGCGCCTGCGTCGTCCTGGGGTTGAGAATGATGTCGTCGATTGCACGAGCGGTATGGCGACAACCTGGGGCGGTGCAGGTTGTGTGTGGGCTTCCAGGTTGGTCGATGCCTGGGTGTGATTCCCGTCTCGATGGGGGGATAATCAGAGGACGGGGAAAGGGCTCTCCAGGAGCCTGCGGGAAACTGTGGACTGTGGAGGTTCGCACTGCTGGTTTTGCAGGGTTGGATCCAAAAGGTCATCCCTGTCAAGGCCAGACGCGTTGCATCGATCGCATTCGACCATCGGGAAAGGGGCGCAAAAATTTAAGGGGCGATTGGCATGTGGCTTGGATAGGGGGTGTGGCTGGTATGGCCGAGTACTTGGCTTCCATTGGAGGGGTGAGGGGCACCCACGGGGTACCTAGAGTTTACTAGTAGACCCTCTGCTCATCGAGGTACCCTCCACGCCCTCACTTCAGGTGCTTCAAACCAAAGCCTGTATTATTTGAACGCCACTCTGTTTGCTGTCATTCCGCGCGATAAGCCAGGTGTAAACTGCTCATTCCTCATCCTCGGCACCCAGACTCAACGCGGCTACTGTATCTCGAGCCCTAACGCAAATTTTCAGCGCCGCTAAAGTGCACAATACGTGAGACAGCCCTCTCGTTGGCGCTGCCTTACCAGGCACTGTCCATGTCTGAGGCGACCCCTGCCCACCAAGCCTCATCACCGTCCAGTCTGGCGACTAGCAGGAACATGTGCTCGCCATCACGGCTAACTGCGAGGCTGCGCTGCGTCGGCTCCGTGGGTCGATGCCATCTGCATCGACCAGACCTCCGCAGAAGACAAGGCCGTCCAGGTCCCCATGATGCGCGACATCTACGCCAACGCCGCCGGGGTCGCGGTGTGGCTCGGCGAGCTCGAGCAACTGGCTAGCCCTCAGAGTGTTGGCAACTTGCGGAGCCTGTTCCGCCTTATGCGTGTAGCTGGAGTGATGTACCCCCTCGGTCCCCTCAAAGTCGACCCCCTGTACGACGACCTTCCAGATGATGTCGTTATGGTCAGAATGTGCGAGATATGTCGCTCGGAAGACGGAGCGTCTCGTGAAGGAACTGAATGAAGTGTGCAGAAACCCGTACTTCCGGCGCGTTTGGACCGTGCAGGAGGTCGCCGTGGCGGCCAAGAACGCAATTTACCTCCATGCTGATCCGTCGACGGTCTCCTGGCGAGATCTCTGCGTGACGGCCTCCTTTGCAGCCTTCAGCCTGACGAGGCTGGAAACGTTTACTGACGGCGTATTAGCATGTCGGTTGGAGTCACACTTCGTTGTGATGAAGGACGTCACTCTGCGTCACCTTTTTGACGAGGAAGAAGGCAAGAGTGTTATGTCGTCCCAAGCAAACCTCGAGGATCATATTTTGGTCTTTCTAAACGGGCTGCATGCCACAGACCCAAGAGGCAAGGTTTATGCCATTCTCTTTGCCTTGGCGCACAGATCTCTCCGTGACGCAGGTCAGGTGGATTCGCCAACAGGCCAGGCCGGCTGTGAGGAAGATCCGGAGAGAACCAACCAAGAAATCATTGTCGACTACACCAAGCCAGCCGAGGTTATTTTCACAGAATTCGCCACCTTCATCCTCAGCCATGCCGAAGGCCCGTATAGAATCTGGCCGCTGCTTCTTGCGTGCCGAGATGGACGATCCAAGCATGGGGACTTGCCATCATGGGTTCCGGACCGGGTAGAGCCCAAGACCTACGATGTGCGTATGCGGTTTGTTTCAACACACCTGCATCGTGATTGAACTGGCGCCTTTGACCTGAAGCCTCGATTTGGCCCCGACCCGCGGCAGCTTCGGGTATGTGGGCGAAGGCATTCCTCGGTCATGGGCGTGTTTTCTGTGCCCGATGGGGATTTCGTACCAAATACTTCGGTTGCCAATGGGGCTGCGTGGAAGCAGTCTGCGTGGCCTGACAAACAAACTGAAGGACGATGTCATGGGCTAAAAGTCATCAGCGACATGCTGGAATGTTACTCTGGGATCCAAACTACCCACAAGCCTGTCTTGCCACACCGAAGGAGAGAGACTTCACGGCCAATGGCTGGTCGATCACTCCTCGTACAACTGGCCCATTACCTCGATCCATACACATACGAAGGGCCGGAAAATGTGGCTGGCCGGAGGGCAATGGCGAGAGAACGAGAGCTGGCGTCGGCCATGGGTGTTGGCGTTGACACTATCCGACTTTGTGCCGTCGGAGACCGCCTTGATCTGAGGAAAACCTGGCCTCTCGCAAAAGCAGCGTAACCATTGATATATGGCTGGACGAGTCTACTCGCTTGCTAAGGGCCTACCTCGAAGGCGCGTTGACGGATGACATCCGGGGAGATATGCAGAGCCGGTCCGAATTTGCTTCGGATAGCCGCGCTGAGCTAGATCCTCTGATACGAGGTCTTCTTGGCATCCTTGACATTATTGTTACCTTGGCAGAAAAGGAATTGATCAATGCAAGGGGATTTACTTGCGGAGCTTGAGCATGACATGATGATAGGTCAAGTCTTTTTTGTCACGGACAAAGGTCAGCTTGGGCGGTCGTTCACCAACGTCGAGGTTGGGGACACGGTCACCACATGGCAGGGCATGGCTGTGGCGTTTATCCTCAAGAGCGCGCCTGGTAGTCCATCCGGAGGACTTGATGGCAGTGGCGAACTGCGGTTTTGGAGCTTGGCATCTGCGGCGAACATTCCCGCACTTTGGCACGTAGAAAGTATGGCCCGGGGTCTGGATTATCAAGGGTATGAGATGTTTATAATTATTTGACGAATTTGCGCCTTTTCTTGCTTGAGAAAAGGCGCTGTTACTCGGAACGAAGCCGGTGTCTTGACGAAGATAGTCTCTGTATCATCACCCCAAGACTGACTGGCTGTTTATGGAAAACGCTCAAGAGGTTTGTTTGATGGGTCATGCAGACCCAAAGACTGTCACGGCACCCGAGCTCCCGCCCACGCAGAACTGGTTACCCCATCCGTCCTCCCTCCACGCGAGGCAGCTCACAATGTTCTTCCGCCCCTTCTCCTTCCCGTCCCTCCCGATCGCCCTCCTCTTCCGCTCCCCTCCGGCGGCAGGCCCCCAGGGGACGCTGAGCGTCGCCACCGTCTTTCCCGTGAGCAGGTCCCACGCCCAGACCCTGCCGTCCTCGTCACCGCCACCCGAGGCCGCCGGCGCGCTCATCTCGTCCCCTGCCACGACGAACCTCTCTCCCCCGCCCAGGATACTCTGCACGCGCAGGCTCTCGTTGCGCCACGCCGGGGCCCCTTGGGCGGTAGGGTCGGCTCCAGCTCCGGCTCCGGCTCCGGCGGCGGGAGCGGAGCCGGCATCCCCACCGTAGGTGCGGAGACAGGCGCCCGAGGTGCGGTCCATGAGGCGCAGGCCGGCGGGGCCGAGCGACCCGACCAGCAGGGCGGCGCCGTCGCGGGCCATGGACAGGCTGGTGACGGGCCCGGCGGCGACGTCGACGACGCAGCGGCCCATGCGGACGTCGTAGGCGCGCACGCGGCCGTCGACGGAGCCGGCGACGACCTCGGGGCCGCGCACCACTATGGCCGAGACGCCGTCTTTGGCATCGGCGAGGGTCTGCACGGGGCGGCCGCCGTTACCCCCACCCTTGCAGTCCCACAGCTTGACGGTGGTGTCGAAGCCGCCGCTGGCCAGGACCGAGTCGCCGTCGCCGGCGAAGGCGACGCAGTTGACGCGGCTCGAGTGGCCGTCCGGGGCCGAGGCGCCGAAGCGGCGCAGCGTCGTGGCCGTGGCCACGTCCCACAGGAAGACGGCGCGGTCGCCGCCGCTCGAGGCGAAGCGCGCGTTGTCGGCGGCGACGGCCAGCGACAGCACCTCGTAGCCGTGCGCCGAGTACGTCTGGATCAGCCGGCCCTCCGGCGGCGAGCCCCCCGCGGCGGTGGCGGTGACGGCGGCGGCCTGGCCCGACGCCGGCGAAGGGTTGTACAGCCGGATGCTGCGGTCCGCGGAGCCGGCGAGGATGTAGGTCCCCGGCGAGGCCGAGTAGGCCACGGCGTGGACGGGGCCTGCGGGGTCGGGGCGTCAGCAGGCGCAGGCGCAGGCGCGACATGGTCGCGCGTCGGGGCAGGACCGGCAGGGCTGGCACACTCACCATTGGAGCCCAGCAGTTGCGACACGGGCTTGCTGGGAAAAGCCATGACTGTCAGATGCTTGTTACCTGCGCATTTCCATCTCGTAAGTGGCTGCCCTCATCCAGCTGATCGCGATGTAGTCGAGAAGCGTCTGGAGATGTCTAGGGGGCCTTTTTTCTCCTATAGGTATTGGGTGTAACACGATGCTTTTATGTCTGGGCTTTTATGTCTGGGCTTTTATGTCTGGGCCTTTATGTCTGGGCAAGGTGGTGACGATCATATACAGTGCAAATTGGTCATGTCTTGCACTAGCTCTTGTCGTGCGCACTGTATCTGCCATTTACGCGTCGCGAGGAACGCTGGGACAATCCAAGCCAAGGCAATGACAACTCTTGTCGACTTATTCACCTAACCGACGACCACGCCACCCAGACAACCCCTCGCTGGCCCCCGAGAGTGAAGCAGACGCAATCCTGCCCATGTGAATGTGCCTGAGCCTTTGCAGATGGCCCACGCCGCAAAGCTGGGGGCCTTGGCGGAGGAGCTCGTCGCCGCGATATGTCATGTAGACGCCGAGGTAACCAGCACCGACACCGCCTCGGGGCAGGAGGCTGGCGAAGCAAAGACTGACGCCCTCTCTTCACAAATGGCAGTCGGACAAGGCTCGGTTTGAGGCTCTCCGTGAAGCCTCGCTGCGGGGCATCCGCCGCCAGAACCATCTCCGCACCAACCAATTCCTCGTTGAGGGGCATCTCGATGGTCTCGAGGAGAGGTTCAGCGTCAACGCCCGCGATGGGCTGGCCAGCGCGCTGAGGCAACGTCGTGGCGCACTAGCAGCCCACCCCTCGATGTGGACCCCCGAGCTCCTGCACTTTCTTCTGGAGCTGTCTGATCAGCCCCTCCAGCAGTCTCGCCTAGCCGACCTCGAGAACCTCGGGCCTCCCGAGGCGGAGGAGGGCCCGAAGCTGAGGTGGGAGGACATCGCCGAAGAGGACGGTTGGGCTCAGGACCATTCTCTTTGGAAAAACGTCAACTTCGGCGCAGAAAGCTCCGATGACGAATCCTACGAAGGCTCTTATGAAGAGGCAAACCCTACCGATTCGCCCTTGTCCTCCGATGACACTTCGGTCTCGAGCACCACTCTTCCCCTTGACAGGATTCTGCGGGCCCCTGAGGAGGAGGCCGAGCCTGCACCGACGCTGGAGGACGTGGCAGAATCTCAGTCCTGGAGGCTGACGGACCCATCGTGGGACTCGTCGGGGAAGGCGCGCAAGATTGTAATAACCGAGGCCCAGCTTGTCAGGGAAGCCCTTTTCATGCTCCAGGGCCACAAAACAACGCTGTTCGATGACAAGTGCTCGCCAGTGCCAGCATATCAACTGCGGAACGTCTCTTGGGACACGTATCGTGCTCTGGTCATGTCTGTGGGCGAGACAGGACGCCCTCTCCTGCCTCTACGGGGTTTTGTCGGTAGCAACCGTCAAGACATTGCTCTCCTCCAAACCTTCCAGGACTGCATCCGCCGAGCCCTTCACTCCTTCGACGAAGCCGTGTCGGCCATCCAGGCCCGGTACGCCGACCTCAAGGCCGACATGGTCGTGAGCGTGCTCGACGTCATGGAGGAGCTCCAGCCGCGCATGCTGCAGCTGCGCTCGCTCTCGGCCGTCGTCCAGAAGCTGAGTGACGAGAGGTACCCGCACGCGTTCCGCTGCCTCGAGCTTCTCTACGAGGCGGCCTGCGCCGCGCAGCTGGAGGGGGACGAGCCGGTCTACAGGTTCCTGAGCCCGACGTTCCTCGACTGCTTCCAGGTCTACCTGCGGCCCATCAGACTGTGGATGGAGGAAGGCCAGCTCCTGTCCGGCGATAAGATCTTCTTCATCTCCGAGTCCAAGGTCCAGGTGCCCCTGACCCAGATCTGGCGAGGCAAGTTCAAGCTCCGCAAAACCCACGAGGGCGTGCTGCACGCGCCCAGGTTCCTGCAGCCCGCCGTGTCCCGCATTTTTACGACGGGCAAAAGCATCGTCGTCCTGAAGCAGCTCGGACGGTACGAATCGGTGAGGCAGCGGCGCGGACAGGGCGCCGAGGGTGAGCCCAGCCTCGACTTTGCGGCCATCTGCCCTCCGGGGTTCGAGCTGGCCCCATTCGGCGAGCTCTTTGATCGCGCATTCGACGCATGGATCAAGAGCAAGCACTTGACGGCATCGACGTCGCTGCAAGACGTCCTCTTCAAGTCGTGCGGCCTCTGGTCGACCCTGGACGCTATCCACAGCGTGTTTCTGATGGCGGACGGCTCCGCCGCCGACGCCTTCTCCCTGGCCGTGTTCAACAAGCTGGACAGGAGACACGCAGACTGGCACGACCGCTTCACGCTGACCGAGCTAGTGCAGGACGCCTTCTCCTCGCTGCCAGAGGCGCATCGCGTGTCGGCCGCGTTCGAATCCGACAGCCGCCGGCCGCCCAGCAGCAGCAGCAGTAGCAGCAGCACACCGGGCCGGTCGTCGGTTCGCGACCACCTGCCCCGGCTGAAGCTGCAGTACCGCATGCCCTGGTCGGTACAGCTGATCCTCGGCGGGGAGTGCATGGACAAGTACCGCAGCATCTTCACGCTGCTCCTGCAGCTGCGGCGGGCCATCAACGTCCTCAACGGCCACCGCCTGCTCCGCGACGTGGCGGCCAGCGCGGCGGCGGCGGCCACGTCGTCGGACCCGCGGGCGGGCGCGGCCGAGCAGGGGCTGTACCACGGCACGCGGGCGCGGCTGCTGTGGTTCTGCAACGCGGTGCTGACGTACCTGACGACGCTCGTCTTCGCGCCCCGGGCCGCGGCGGTGCGGCGCGACCTGCGCGCGGCCGAGGACGTGGACGCCATGATCGCCGCGCACGCCGCCTTCGTCGCGGGCCTGGTGCACGAGTCGTGCCTGGGCGGCCGCCTCGACCCGATCCGCGAGTGCGTGCTCGACGTGCTCGACCTCGCCGTCCGCCTCGAGCGCGTCCGCCGCCTCGACGCCGCGCGCGAGGCCGCAGAGGTCGGCGAGATCGCCCGCCTGTCCGTCCTCATGTCGTCGCCGCCCGCTGCCGCTGCCGCCCGGTCGTCGCCCGCCCAGCTGCGCAGGTCAAGGCTGAGGGCCGTCTACGTCAGTCCCGAGGAGGAGGACCGGAGGGGCGGGGGCAGCGCCGACGACGACGACGAAGACGACCAAGGGGATGCCTTGGCTCTCCTGCCGGCTGTCGGGGCCGCCGCCGCCGCCGCCGCCGCCATCCCCGGGAAGAGGAGGAGGGGCAATAAGAGGCCGCACCCCGACGACCCGCGGGAGTCGTACGTGGTCACGCTGAGGCGCATCTCGGCCGACTTTGACAGGCACCTACGCTTCATCATCGGGGGCCTGCGGGGGGTTTCCCGGGCCAGCAGCGATGCTGCCGCGGGGAAGTGGGACATTCTGGCCGAGATGCTCGAGACGGGCGTCAACTAGTTCTACACCTAGGCTGCCATGAAGCCCTCTTGTTTCTTTGCCTG